TGATGAGTGAAGTTCCCAATCCACAACTAATCAATGAGGGGAATCTGAGTAAGGCCTCCTCCCTGAAGTAATGATTGGGGCACAGACCTGGCTCCTTGGAGCTTTACTGTGATACTTGGTTTCAGCCCCGTGCATGCATTTTCCTTGCTTTCTCTGAGCCTTGCCTTACCTACACCTGTTGCCTTGTTGGGGAAGGCTCATATTTTGCATTCCAGCTCCAAAGGTGTCAGAGACCAGAATTTTTTTTTGTGAGGGGGGGAAAGGGGAGTTGTGAATTGTTGGTATAAACCAGTGGTGCCCAGCCTCTGGGCTGCAGGTTGAATGGGTCTCATGGGGCTGTTTTCCAGGCTGCAGAGCTCTCCACAGTGCTGTTAATTGCCACAGCTTCCAGAGCAAGTGTGCTTGCCGCCTGGGCAGGTGGATGTGGTTGAATCAACAAGATGCTCTAATCTTGGGGTGTTGCTTTTGGACCTGCTCCAGAGCCATGTTCATGGTTTATCAGCAGCGAAAAAGGGTGACCCAGGCAGAGCAGCAGTGCTTAGGTTTGCCTTGCACATAAGTGTAAGTTACTTGTATGCAAACTACTCGTGGGCTGTTATGAGTCTCAGGTACTGCCTTGTGCCATTGGAAAGGCAGTTATCCACTTGTTTGGCTGTGAGATCTCAGCTACAGACTGCAACCTTAATTTGATGGTAGGTGTGCGGGCCCTCTCCCGCTCCCGTCCTCGTCGCCATGTGCGGGCGGCGGGGAGCGATCCGGGCCCTTTTTCGCTCCGTGCGGGCTGTGGCCAGCAGCCCGGGCACGCTGGATCGGAGAGAACAGGCGACACGCTAGAATTAGGCACGGACGCTTAATGGTTGATTCAAGATTGTTTACTTACACCGAAGATGGTCGCGGTGTAGGCTGGACAGTTTCCCAGGCACAGCTCCACTTAAACCCTCATTTGAGGACTCAGACAATATTCGATCACTCCCACGGAGTTGTCAAGGCTCCGTGGATCCTTTCGAAGAGCTCTAAATAGACTCACACGAAGTTTGCTAGGCTTCGTGGAACGAAAGCGCGCAGGGAAGGGATACGTCGAAGATTGCAAACGGTGACGGGGAGAGGCTAGAGGCTGATCAGACCCCTATAGCCTGCTTAAAATGCGCTGGGTTTGATAGGCTCCACAGTGCTTAGAGATCTTCACACAGCGTGAAGTCTTCTCCTCCTGGTGTTGGTGGAGTCCTCCCTTGCGGGGGTTCTCCTCGGAGTTCTCCAACTTGGGCGGAAACCACCCAAGCCTTTTAGGCTAGCAAGCCAATCGCTAGCCGCCACGTGTGAATAATTTAATGCAAGCCAATAATGGAGCTCGAATTAGAATACGAATGGCGGGAACTCTTTGCAACGAGCATTTCTGTGCTGCAACAAAGAAATGCACCCTGCAAAGAAAGCTACAATTTGGCGGGAAAATAATTCAGTGGTGCCAAAGCACACACAAAAACAAATCACACCTTTGGGTTGTGACAGTAGGCATCTGTCTCGCAAGACAATAGAATTACACCCAGCGAGGCAAATGGTTACGGGCCTTTTTTTATAGGTTGCCTAGAATTCTTTCCTCTCCTGACAGCAAGCTCTCTGAGCACAGCCTATGGTTTAATTGAAGCAGCCTTTGTTGGTGCAAGGTCTCTGTCATGTGCCAAGTCTGATGAGTTTGTAAAGTGTAGGAAAGACGGTAGAAAGGATGGATAAGGAAGCAAATGGGAATTGGCTCCCCTGGCTTGTCCTGCTTCACTACTTTATTGCGTCCTGACTGAGGAATTGTCCCCAAAGCTGTTCTGCTGGAGTGTTTTCTTAGCACTCATCCAGATGTCCCTCTGTAATCGCACAAGATGAAATTCCACAAATGCACTTTTTATTCTCCCCTTGAACATTGAATTATTCCACTAGCTCAACATTTCTCTGATATAACCCTCACAAAGTGAGTGGAGTACTGTGAGGATGAACTTGGCCTATTAATTATGTATCTGCCTACATGTCTGAGCTAAACCAAGTATGTGGTGGTGCCAGGAAAGGCTTGTGAACAGCTCCAAGCAAGTTTTACTAGTTCTCAGGTTTCTTCTGTTAGTTTGCAGGGAAATTCCCCAAGTGGAGATTGGTATCTTCCCTCTGGACTGGCTGTGGCAGGTTGCACACCCTTAGTGCTTTTATGCATTTCCCAGCCAGTTCGCTTCCTCTGATGGTGTCTTTCCTCTGTGTTCATCCCTCTGCCTGTCGGCTCTTCCTCTGTCTGACAGTAAAGCTCCAGCTGAAGAGACTTGAGAGGGTCGAGCTGCCTATTTGTTCTTCATGCAGGGGTGGCTATCATTGCCTCCCTGCCAGTCAAGCTCTGTTTGCTGGCTCTGATCTCTGGCCTTGCTGTCAGTCAAGATGCCTCAGTTACTGCCATTTTCTGGTACGGGCTCCATCCATCCATCCTGCATCTCGACAGACCTGGTGGTCCCAAAGCAGGACTGTGGCATTCCCTTGGACTTGGGAGGGTCTTCTCCAGGCAGCCTGGGGGCTCTGAAAGGTCATGTGGCACAATAAATATATGGCTGCCGTAGGCATTTGCCATTTCAAACGGGCACGTAAGCTTACTGCTCACAAGGGAGTCCTTGCTTTTAAATTGCTTATCCCTTTAATTTGAGAGGATGGTGTAGTGGGTCTTTAAGTCCCTTGGAAGATGGTGTTTATGGACCGCTAAAGCACAATGTTTGCAGCTTCTGGTGTGAGGGAAGAGGGGGGGGGGGGGGGTGGCTGAGGGCTTGGGTCAGGAGGAAAGGGGTGTAAGGGAGCATGAAGTTATGTACATGCCTAGCCTGAAGGGGTCCTGCCCTCTCTCTGTCTCCCCCTGCTTTTAGTCATCATAAAGCACATGAGAGGGGAGGGAGGCCTTATTGGAGTGCTGGTCCTGCCCTCACATGCTGTAAATTAAAACAGGCTCTTAATGTACAGCCTGACCCAGCTAGCCTGTTCTGGACCTAATTGCATTAAATAAATGGATCCTCTCCAGATAGGAATGGGCATTAGCTCTGCAGTGTTCCTGCCAGCATGGAGTCGTCATTCCTTTACTTACGCAGGCTCAAGGGCACCTGCTTTTTGTTAAAAGTGCGTCCTGATATTTAAAGGGGTTGTCAATTAAATGATTACTGATAAACTACCTGACTGCATTCCAGATCCTCAGACTTCAGGGGTCTGCAATGGGTTTAAAAACTTTGCTCCATACTTTTCTATAATCGGAGCTTCTTTTAAAGCTACTGCCACACTGACTGACGGTAGTCCCACACCTCAGTTGATCTAGTCATACCAGTGCAGAAATGGTGTGAAG